CGGCAAACTGCATTCCATATAAATTCAAACATTAGGCGGAACTTAAGTAATAAAGTAATAAACATACCTATACACTAACCTTCTTTCTGTCAACGACTTTTTCGGTAATTTTGGATAGTTATGCAAGAGTTCATCAAATCTATCCAAATTCCTTGCCAACCAAATCTCTTTTGAAGTACGTGCACGAGACATTTTTTAAGAGTAAAAGAAGCAAAGAAACTATGATTAATTAATCAATTTAATCCGTTAAATAGCGAATACAAAATCAGTCACATGATACTTTGGGTGAAAATTCCCACGACGTGTCATGAATTGTTGATATCATAGCCTTCCACTGGTGATAATATGATGAATAAAAAAATTTTTAATATTAATTATTAAAATATATTTAATTTTTAAATAATATCATTTCTCATATTGTTTTTAAAAATAAATTGATTTATCTATAAAATAATTTTAATTTGGAATTACGGAAAGTAATTAGTTACCTTAAAAAAAATTATTACAATATTGCAGAGATTTGCAAAGGACAACCCTCCAATTGATTTCATCAACTCGTGTTTTTGATTGTCAATGTCATTAAAATCAATTGAAAATTTTCCTCAATGATACCGTAAGATGTTCCAACAATTCGCTGATTAGCGGTCTTGAATGAGGATTTTCTCAATAAAGATTCAGTATTCTCAATTCTTTAAAACCTGAAATAGAATAAATAGCTTTGAAGAATCAAGAGGTAACTTTCGCTGAGATAATTCGTTCCTATAAAATATTAATGATTTAAAATTGTAAAATATATATTTAGATGATTATTATAAAAAAAAATTTATAAAATTCAACGTCTGATACCCTACTTTACATAGTTTATATAGGTCTCTATGTGTAAACGCTATTATGTACATGAAACCGGCATATATATTTTTGCATGACATCATAAAATTCATTCTTAATATAATGTCTTTTGCTTCGAATTATTTATTGAATCGACCTTATCGTGGTAAATAGATTACTACACGATGATTCTATATTAATACCTGCAGTTTTCGTTCATCTAACTAGCGTTAGCTTATTTTTTTTATTCGATTAGGTTAAAGAGAACGAGAAAAACAGAAGACAAAAACGAACTCTATACTGCGTGACGTTACCAACAAACTTGTTTTTTAAAGTTCTTTTTCGATTTTTAATTCTAAAGATGAAACTCGTGAAGAATCAAACGAGGACCGTGATTCTTTAATGTTTATTTCACCCGAACGATTGGCAACTATCATTAAATTTGTGGAGGAGAACCATATTGGCCTTTTACGTAGTCCGCCATCGTCAGGAAAGAGTACTCTCGGTGAATATCTCCACGAAATTTACGATGGTATATACATCAGCCTTGCTGATGTTATTGTAGAAGGCAATCAAGAAATCGATGTGGATTACTTGGAGGAATTCTGAAAAAATCAAGTCGATCGTACTTGGACAAAAATCATAAAATGGACGGAGGAAACTTTTTGTTTGTCGATGGAATACAAGTTATCTATGACAAACGTGCTCCATTTTTTTTGAAGTAACACTGAGAATAACCAACATCTTTGGATATTTTTCTCGGCACGTATCATCCAACACTTTCAGATACAGAAAAAACCGTAGAAATTAGACATAATCTTGGTTTGGATGTCCTACTTTTTAACACAATACGAGTTCAATGTACTTGTAGCAAACTTTGTCCAGAGATATTCTTCTCGGAATCGCTTCAAAATTCCTGAGGATGTTAAAAATGTCATCTTTAATCTTACTGGTGGACATCCCGTTGTCGATTTATTTTTAACACCAGGGACGATGATACAGTATTTGGCATCACAAATTATTATGTGATTAATGCACAAAATTTTTCTGTTTTCTTTGTCTCAAATTTTCTGATTTATGGCATTCTGCAAAATATCACGTCCTTTAAATATGTGCTACAAATATAGAACCCGCGCCAGTGTCAAAACAAAAAAATTGGGGGGGGGTTAGTTCGATAACTCTTATGGTAAAAAAAAAAAAAATCACAACACAAAATTTATTTTAATCACACAAAATTCACCACAAAAAAAAAACCTGTTACAAAGTAAATTTCGTGAAGGTACACAAATTAAATCAGCAGTAATCACGAAATGGTGCAACATCAAGCTCACGTGCTATTTACTGGATTGGCGACCAAAAAGAAAAAGTCACCACTGTCAATTCACCGACACCACCACAGGCCCCAAAGGCTCCAACCATGACGAAGCTAATTTTGTTCGCCTTGTGTTAATTAGAAGTCAATGTGGAACTCCATTTTTGTTAATTATAATTCAAATCCTGTTGCCAGGAAATTTCTTAAATCCGGTATTTTCGTTGAGATTGATAGTCAAATACAATTTGAGAGAAGATGGTACGGTATCGCGCATCTACAATAGAATGTATCAATAAGTGCTGATGTTGGTCCTGTGTTCGGTTCGGCTGGTTTCCTTGATTTTTATGTTAATGGAGATTGTTGCTGGGGAATTGAGCTTACTCAATAAGATAGTCTTTGGAAGAAACACGAAGAACGATTCGAAAATGATGGTATATATGACAAAATTCCATTGAGACGTTGAGTTGTAATTGACTTTCGATATCATTCAAAAGTGTACGTTGAAATAAAAACAAATTTCGGTACGGCATTACTATTATACGTGATATAAAATCCTTATTTTGTACGGTGATTAGTAAATTTCTTGTAAATTTATAACAACAAATTAGTGTTCCATTTAAATAAGTGCAATATCATAGGAAAACTTTATTAATTTTTCAGATATGAGAAATAAATATAGAAATGAAAAAAATGATAAAGGTAGAAAGCGAAATACATTGGCAGATCCTAGACCATTTATGCGCCATATTATTTCTTTCGCTCTCATATTTCCGGAAATTTCAATAGCTTTTATTTCTATCACTATTTACGAGATATTACCCGTATTTACAAAATTTTGCCTACCTTTATCTCTCTCACCAACAGGAATTAAGTTCCGCAAGAGAATTTTTTCGAATCTTCAGTATAAATTCCGGAGATTAGCAAGAAGTACATGCTATAATTTCGATAAAAGTAAACAATACTCCTCTCCCTTTCCTTTATATTATATTTCATAGTATTCAACTCTGTAATCGAAAGATTTATTTCTCAGCGCATTATAGATGTATGTAATAATTTCTTCGATGTGTTAGAATTGCGCAAGTTTTCGATATATTGCGCCAGACTTTTTGCGCAAATATAGATTCGAATATTTAATTCCGGCAATCAATATGGCCAAGATATGATAAAATCATTAAAAAAAATGGTCAAGCAAGGAAGAGAATTTACATTTGATAAAAATATATGATGTTTCTAGTCTTCCAAAAACAAGTATGGAAAATAATCCTTTGATAATAGGAATTGATGAACTTGAAACATGATCACTTCAAGAGATAAAAAAGATATATTGTCAAAGGTTGGCGAGTTGATTGGTCCAAAAGTTAGATCAATCTTTGAATCTTTTTGGGGTATGTACAGTTATTAAAACAAAGAATCTTATTCAAATATAGTTAGAAGGTTCAGATATTTATAAACTTAAAAATCTGCCCCACTCCTTACATTTTAAAGTTTTAATATCCATGTAATTATGATTCTGCGTTTATATACTACGGCAATATACTATTTTGAAGCTCGAGAAAATGGTTCTGTTGAAAAAAACTGAATGAATCATAGAGAATAAATCACCATTATTATGTTATAGTTTTACGTAAAATTCAGTAATTCTTTTGAATAAGCAACAAAAGGTATCATTTTTCTAATTATAGAGTGTCAATTAAAAATTGGTTTTAAATCCATTGGTACTTCAAAGTAAATGGTTATTTAAAATAAAAAAAAAGATCGATTGTATCCGATTCAAGAAGAAAGAAATATTGTTAATTAGAGACATGCATTTAGTACTACATATAAGTGAAAAATGTTTAGACTTTCAATAGAAGGGTCCTTTGAAATCAATATCGTTGAATCAATTTTGTGATTGGCTAGCAAATAAATGCGAATATTTGTCCAAGTATTTTTAAGCATGATACGCATTTCCAATATAAATATTTTCCAATTATGGTTTTCTTACCGCCCGAGATGTTCAGATTTAGCGTTTATCATTTTACCCGGCAGTTTCCCTTGCATATGAAATGCATATGATCATCTGCGGAATATACAATTTCCCTTTTTTTTTTATTTTTTTATTTTTTTTTTTTAAAAAAAAAAAGTAATTAGCAATAATAATTTTAAAGAAATTTCGTCGAATTCACTTTTAACTACAGTGTTAAAGGTTCTATAGTGAGTATTTTTTTTTTTTTCATTCAATTGAAATCAAAAACATTTGAATCAAAGATTTAAGAGTATATTTATTTATGGGATCGCGCTAAAAATGCTGTCAATTGGAAAATTTTGTGTCGTATTGAGAGAAAACGTGAACAAGCGTTACGTAACATTACCTAAGAATTAATAATGAGAAGATTGATTAGGTAAATTCTCCATGTCTCATTGATAACTTTATTTGTAATATCGGATATGGTTTGCTTATGAAATAAAGTTGTCAACTAGCTATGTTGTGCTTCGATTCACTGAATGATGGATTGTTTATTATTTGTGAATTACCAATATTATGCGAGAAGAAGTAAAAGTGCTCCGATAGATTCCGAATAAACAATATTTTTAAAATTGTATTACTTGAATTAACCGATTTACTTGTTCTAGTAACGCGGGATCGATGATTATTATCGGAGATATTATATTTGGAATGAATATCAGCGCGAATCTTCAATAAATTGTTTTATGGCATACATCAACTGCGCCATTCGATTGATAACTATATAAAGGAAGCCTCAATTTCCGTTTCTTTTTTTCTTTAACAAATTCAGAATTATAAGATTGTTCGGATTAATTTGAATTAAATTTTAAATTTTTTTTTTTTTTTGATTTGTCGAATTACTTTTTTATAAAAATGAAATTAAAATCTTTCACCTCAGCAATTTTTATATCGGTTTTCATTGCCGGTACGACAATACTTGCTGCACCTCTTGCACCTCCAGAACAAAAATTCAAGAAATTGGTCGCACTTGGAGATTCTTTTACTGGTAAATTCAGTTCCCTTTTAAAACTCTTCATCATCATGATTTTTTTTTTTTTCCCAAACGAATCGTTTTAATAAGTAAATCTTTCAATTAGATAGTGGAAATGTATTTAATTTGACAAATCATTTATGGCCATCAGCTGGAAATTTTTTCGAAGGTAGATTTAGCAATGGGAAAATGTGGGTCGAATATCTTAGTGAGTTGCTCGGGGCGGAATTAGAAAATAAAGCCTATGGTGGTGCAACTTCCGAGTAAGTGATCAAAATGTATTTTACGTTTGATACCCAATTTAAGAGATATTCTAACCAAATCTCTTTGTTTATTTATATTAGTAATGATTTGGTTCAAGGATTTATTAGTAAACAACTTGTTCCAGGAGCTACAGCGGATATACCTGTGCCTGGAATGAAACAACAAGTGGATGAATATCTTTCTGAGAATGATAATCACGAAGATAATCTTTATGCAGTGAGTATCATAAAAAAAAAACATTATTTTTTTTTAACATTTAAACAAGGAGAATTAACCTTTTTTTTTTTAAAAAAAAAAATTTAGTTTTGGGATGCCGGTAATGACTACTTTTTCTCATCATTTTCGATGGATCCATTAAAAGTAGTGGAATCCATGGGCCTTTCATTTGAAAAATTAGTCGCGGCAGGAGCAAAATCATTCCTTGTAGCAGATATTGAGGATTTTTCCAAATTACCATTCTTTAAAAATTCAACGTCAGAAACGAAGACAAGCTACCAAAAAATCGTTAAGGATCATAATGAAGCTTTAAGTGAATACTTGAAATCATTCGTGGAGAAACATAATGATGTACAGGTTTATAGGTATATAACTGTTGAAATGTTCGATTATTATACATCAATTGAAGGTCAAAAGGAGTTAAAGATCTCCAATGTAACAGATGCTTGTAATGATATTTATTCGAACCTTACGAACCCTGTTATTTGTGACAAACCTGATGATTTCATATTTTGGGATGCTTTCCATGTAACCACTAAACTTAATTCAGTCATCGCTAATGATTGTCTCAAAGCTATTACAAAGAGTTAATTCATTTTTAGAAATTCATTTTACATTATGTTATGTTTAAAAATAAGAAATTATTATCACTAGATTTTAGATTTAATCGGTAAATTTTATTTAAGTAATTAATTTATTTCCGGTACTTAATATAATAATCTATTAATTCACCATTAATAAAAATACAATTCATTATTTTCTTGATTTGAAATCTCATCATAATCTTGTTTATTTTAACTTGTTTATTTTGTGAAGTGCGACTATTTATAAACGTGAAAATTCCCATTCGAATTAAGAAATATACTATAATTTTTAATTAAATGAAACCATCAATTGAAGACGCACTAGGGCATATGTGCGAAAAAAAATTGACATTTCATTGACAAGACGCACTGAAAATTTTGATTTTTCGGGCGTTTTTATTTATTTAAATGAACCGTTTTTTGATGTTATTCCATAAAAGGGACTTGAATGTTATATCATAAATAATTGTGGGGGGTGTGCTTATCTCGTAAGCCGGAAAAATTTTTTTTTAATTTTAGCCAAAAACGATCTAATAATAGAAACTCCCCATCTTTGAATATGTTCGGACTTCTTTTAAAACAATCAAAACAATCAGGTGTGGATGTCATTTATTAATATCGGAAAATATTTGTTAATCCTTTCGACTTTTATGGTAATTCATATGAAATATAATGAGGTCATAAGCAATCAGATGACCTAATGTCAAAATCCGTGAGAATTTTAAAGGATCGGGATTTGATAATCGCAACCCGATTATCGTTTATATGATTGATTACAAATAAAAGTACATTTTAGTTTTAAACCAAAGAAAAAATAAAATAAAAAAATTTTTTTTTAGAAACATTATTATCTACAAATTAGAACAGGTAAAAAGTAAAAAAAAAAAAAAACATATAATTTAGACGACCGAGAAAAAAAAAAGTCGATCTATCTAACCCCCCCGAAAAGCGAATAAGGAAAAAATAAAATTGCATAATTTAAGATAAAAAAAAACTAATCTACAAATTTTTCTTTTCAAGATTATAAAAAAATCAATATAATTCTATCAAAAAAAACTTTTTCTATACTTCTAAGATACTTCTTCTTTAGCAGGTTTTCCTGTATTAACAGTTCCGGTTGCTGGGAATAATTCTGATAAAATTTCATTAAAGATTTCACTGTATTGAGGATAATTTGATAAATCCGATAAAATATTTTTGAACCCGGTCGTCTGCCTAATATTGACAAAATTCAAAACCACGTATTTCATTGTATGTTCCTTTAATTCCGGATATTTCCACGCCGTTCCGAACAAAAATTCCGCAGCGTCATTTACTGTCAAATAATTAAAAATTTCATTCTTTGCCTGCAAACGTAATTCGTCTATTAGATATTTATCAGCGATTCTAAAGAGATCCAAAGCCGTAATGTTTGAATTCTGGTCTTCCCTTTTCTCAATAAATGTGACCTTGTTCGTGTAGAGAAACCGTAACATCTCCAAAAATGTTTGATAATGGAAATCGGTGACATCGATGACATGGTTACACCTCGTCGTTGGCGGCGCTTGAAGGTTGACGTTATTAGAACTCTTTCTCTCCCTAGTCGTGAATTGCACTGTCTCTACTTTACCGTTCGGTTCCGATTCTAACCACTTCCCTTGGAACACAAGTTGAAAATATTTAGATCTTGTGGAAAGGATCGATGAATTGGCATAAATTATATTTCCATGAATGTTGAACTGAACATCGGACGTTGCGGGATTATTCAGTTGACCCTCCCATGCCTTCACCAGATCTTGTGGGATAGTATCAGTTAACTGAGGATTACTTGGTAGTGGCCACTTTTGGGAGACCATTCCCATTTCAGCTCGATCAAATTCTACACCGAATAAGACATGATCCGGTAGATTAGCTTTATTAAAGAAAGCTTCCCAGCCTATAGAATTTAAAAAAAAGAAGGGAGAGTTTGATATAAATCGATCCATTTAATTGGTATTGCGAATGAATGAATGCGATGATTCGGGTCATACCCCATCCGGATAATTTTGCGGAGAATGAGTTCATTTTTACAGATTGCTTCTTGAGGAAAGTTTGATTTCTTGCGTTTTTCAAATATATTTTTGCAGTTAAAAGGCTTCTCCTCGACCATATACCGGTAGAATTTGCCTCTTCATAATTAGGAATGGCGAAGAGAAATGCAGCGCAATGTTCGGGTTCTTCGGACGACGTCTAAAATTTTCGAATATTGCAAAGATTAATCATCAACGAATTTATCAAATCTTTTTTCGATCTAATAGGTTTTTCATCGAACATGTACGTACAGGAATGAACTCGAGTTGCCAAAACATGTCGTGAGTAGTGCCAAAAGGGGCACTATAAACCGTCGTATTAATCTTTGAAACGTTGGAAAGAAGGAATTCGTAACAACATTTTGTTTTTAGAGCTGAGGCCATGACTAAATGAAAAAAAACACACAAAAAATAAATAAATAAATAAATATATATATATATAAATATAAAAAAGGTGTTCGGAAAAAAAGAGAAAAATTTTATATTTAGGAAACATAACAAATCAAATGTAGTGGTTAAATGTGCAACGGGGAAAGATGTTACACAGAACATCTTTAACAGAGTACAAAAAAAAAAAAAAACCGTGTGATAAGTTTACCTCTCCAATTAATCAATTTTTTTTTTTTATTTTTTTTTTTATTTTTTTTTTTTTTTTTTGAACGGACCGCGAGACGGTGAGATACAGAAAAAAAGCTGAAGATACCGATACGGTTGTATCTCTTTTTATAATAATTCCGAATTTTATGAATTTAATTATAGTATGTGTGTTCGGTGACACAATGCGAACTCATGACCTTTCAACAAGACCCTTTTGGTAAGATGCTGTAGGTTCATATGATTCATTTTAAAAGGGGTCAACATTATCGGTCAAAGACAATGTCAATTATGTGACTGACCAACATAGGATGATCGATTAATTTGCCGATCTCCCTAAACGGTACCTCAATTGAAAGAAACGGTATTTATGTTATTTATTGCAGTCGTAACCGCAGCAAATCAATCACGATTTTTTTTTGTTTAAAAAAAAAAATGTAAAAATACTTAAATCTAAAAAAAAATTATTTTGGGTTAGGGATTATATAATTTACGTGTGAATTGTCGTTGCAAGTTATAATGCTAAGGCAGGCTCTATTATAAAAATGATTAAGTCGCCATCGTATATGTATATGTATTGAATCAGCTCACGTTTCGGCGCATAATCGATTAAACTTTATTAATAAATAAGGTTTTCCAATAATATACAATATATATATATATTTATCAGTTATGGGTTTTTGTCTAAATTTATACAGTATGAAGAAAAGGATAGCTTTACGTGCAAAAAAATTCTGTAGTTCGTAATACATGTCCATTCTTAATAGATTATTTAGAATGAAATATTTAAACTAATAAATTTTTTTACGGCTCTTTATTATGGAGTGCATATTTGTATGGAAGATCAAAACTAAGTGAAAATGTTTACAATCCCATTATTATGGGAGATAGATTAGTTTAATGAAGCTTCTATATACTTTTGAGACATGAAATAAGCATATAAAGTTTTTTTTTTTTAAACCGAATAAAATGATATTAATCAGTAAATAGGATTCATTTATTGTTTATTCCGTGTCAATTTACTTTTTTTCCTCTAGAAAAGAAACGTTCAAGAAAAATATAAGCCAACCACGGAAATTTCACGAATTACTTATTTAAGTATTTAGTATTAAACTTTCCCATCTCATCTGAGGTGATTATGTTGTATCATGAATCTGATAATCCGTCAATCCGATGATAGATTCCCAAAAGGAGAAATTATTTTCGGATTGATCAGTTACATATCTTTCCCAGGCCTACTAGTATACTTAATTTTTTTTCTCAGATCTACTAGCATTCACAGGTGATTTCATTATCAACGTAAGGGATTTATGAAAGATTACTTCTGGACAAAATCCGAATTCGGACGCAAAGAGGTATATAAATGAGGTGATCATTTCATCAAAAATATTATCCAAATGTTTTAACGGGTTTGTTCAAAGCTAATCGATGAAAAGTATTCTAGCTGATAGATATTATGTGTATTTATGACAAAACTCAACTACGCAGATTATATTACAATATTTTAAATTGTAATGAAGGTTCGTTGTGTAGTTGCAATCGCTTAAAGAATTAAACCTATTGGCTGAAACCAACGCCAGTTATTTTTTTGAATTTTATCGGGCATAAACGCGCAAATTGCCAGAAGGTTACACAAATATAATGAAATGCTCCATTAAAAATTGAATTTTATTTTGGTAATACGTAAACTGATAAAGATAGGTGATTAGTACAATTGAAATATATTTCACGAAAGTAAATAAATTACGAACGTATATAAATATAAAGATATATATATATAAAGATTGTCATTGATAACGAACAAGAAGAAATTGATTGTAACTATGATGGAGGAAGAGGGCTTTTGAATAGAAAATGGTCTAATTCATTTTTTGGTAATCTTTTTTTTTTAAAACTTGAAAGCGCGAATCAAAAAACGAAGAAAAACGAGAACACAGAAAATCGCGTCAGGTTTAAGTGTCCTAAAGCGGATGTGGCACCTTCTATTTTTATTAAGGAATCAACAAAAAATGGATAAAGAAAGCATAAAGATCCCGATATTCAAGAAAAAATAGTTTTCAGAAGTAAAAAATTTCAATTTGATGTTAATCAAGCAATTTCAATCTTTGCAGCAGCATCTACGACAAGTTTGCTATTCGAAAATATAAACCTCTAGAAAGGAATAGTTTTCTTTGGTGCAGTCTTGAAAAAAATCAAAATTATTGTTAGGGACCCGAATGCCTTATTTAATTTTTATTTTATTTCTTGATTCGCCATTACTTTCAACATTCGAGAAAAATGAAATTATCCGACTTGTTTATAATGCAAAAGAAACTAAAAACTTTAAATCATTTCAGAGGAAATGATTAAGAATATAACTTGTTTATGAGAAGAAACATTAGAAGAAAGATCTTGCACATGGAAATGACAATGTACTTTGGAATATTTGTGAAGAAATTTGGCTCATTCGTTTGAAAATCTTTTTTTCATTATTTTATATTTATTTTGTTAATTTGGATCTGTCGAGCAATGCCTAAAAGAAAGTTATAGCATATGATGGTTTGCTCCGATATTATTGCTGGTTGCCTTTTTGCGAAAGGATGAAAGTTCACAACAAATATGGAATTAAAATTTTTGTGGAGGTACACGATTGAATCTGACGAAAAATTAATTGACAAAAGGTGATAAAATGCCCCCTAATATATTTTATGAGAAATATTCGAATACTGAGAACATTAAGTAACGCTGTGTCATAAAATTTAATTGCGCTATGCTTTGAATATAAGTTTACATCTGGTAAAACGTTATAATTTTCTTTTATTTCAATTATCATTTATTATACCGAATTCTTAGGTCTTGAAAAATTCCATGACAACGAACAAGCGTGTTTGTAGAGTCTTTAAAACTCTACACACCAGTATTTATAATCTTTTAAACAATTAATTACTTTTTATTACTTGAACATTTCCATCGATCCAACTTGCTCATATACTACGCTGAACTCGCTTCAGCAAGGCACATCATATTCTCGATCAAAACTTTATAAGTAATCAGTGACACATTCGTTACACGAAACAAAAATTATCAAATTCGAATCTGTTTATAGTAACTGAACTTGGTCGAAAAATTTGGTAAAGTTTAATTTATTTATTTATTTATTTTTTTTTTTTGACTTTTATAATTGGAGCTATATTATTATTATAATCAATCTACAATATCCCAAGTACTGAGCCATTTTTTATCCTTCAATTCAATATTAGGAGATGATACACCATATGCTATATCTTTAAAATACCAAAATATCGTTATAATTAATGCATAATGTATCCCAAATATCATATTTTTTGTTTTTAAACTACAAGACGCGGTAAACTGATCCATTAAAAATCCTGTCATTAAGATTGAAAAATATAATGCAGGAAAATAATGATGCAAATATGTAACCCTCCCCATTAAATAAAAAGGTAAATAATGTAATAACCATCCAATAAAACAAATCCTACCAACATATAAAAAATATGTCCATTGGGCTTTAAAAAAAAAAAAAAAAAAATTTATCAATTATTTTATGGATGATTAATAAAAACGTATAAATTTTTATATTTACCTGGTGAAAAATCAGTATATTGTCTTTGTCGTCTTACTAAATACCAGAATAATGTCAAAATAAACAACATCAAAGAGGCAGTTCCAGACCACCAAACAGCTGGATTTCCAAGTAAATAAAATTTAATGGAATCACTTGTCCAACTACATAACCTAAGTCCAACTTCTAATATTGGCCATTGTCTTGGTTTAGATGCGAGAATATCATTATCATCAGGATCGGAAACTAATGCATTATTCGCGTAATACATGGCAACGTTCAAATTCCAGAATTCGCGTAAAAACTTTGACTTATAATTAGCTTTACCACCAGGTGGTACTAAGAAATATAAAATTATTAGAAAATAAGGCTTTAATTAAAATAATTCAACAACATCTTCATGCAAAAGATTCCTTACATTTGCTATTCCAATGTCGTTCAATATTCCAATGAGTATAAGTATCCTTTGGATTATTACGTTTATCGCAAGTTACCTCAACTTGTCTAAATCCCCAATCTGGTAAACCTACGTTTGCAGCTCGAAGATAACATCCCAATACTTTATGACGAAGTCGCATGATAGTTGTTAACGATCGAATATGATTTGTCCTCTTGTATACATCATCTACAACTTCAATTACCCAAGAATCCTTCTCATCTCCGAATGTATCATTTCCATAGCAACTCACTTCCCAATGTGCTCTGGTTAGAGGGGCAGGAATTTTATGACTATGTAAATTACTTTCAGTCGCAAGATGTAACAACCTAATTGTATCACCATCATTCACAAATTCAACATCGGTTTCATTGTCGTAAATTTCCATTTCTCTAGGCTTCAACACAATCCAATCATTGTTAAAATCCTCATGATGATAACAGGTTACTTGTTGTTGCCCTGATCCTCCGGGATATTCTTCAACATGAGAATGTAAAAGTCCACCACCGAATCCCGTATTCCTAAGTGTTATACGTGATCCATACGCCACTTCTAATTAAAAAGAAATTACGTTCAGTAATTTATAAAAATAAAAAAAAAATCAAAAAGTTTAAACGAACCAAGAGGATTTTCTGCAAAGTCATTTCCAATAAGTCCAGCTTGAAAGAGAGAACTCATTTGTTCATCTCCAGGACCGGTATGAGTAAGAATTGCGAAATGAATAGCAAAACACCCAATATAAATCAATATTGGGAGAACTATAAGACAAATAATTCTCGCCATCCAATGTTTTAAATAATCTATCTACATACAACAAAGAAAATAAGTGTAAGACTTAAAACCAAGTATCTTATCACGTGAGGTCAGAGGTTTTCATTTTTTATGTACCTTTGGAATACTCAAATCTCCCAGTTTGTTCCAAAGATCCTCTATTGTATATAATCCAACCAATGCCGTCGTAAATAATCCAATCCATTTAACACTAAAGATATAACATTCTATTAGACTTCATCGTTAAAATAAATATTTATGAATAAATAAAAGAATTTACCTGGAGACGCAACCAATAGAAATTCCGGTCATGATGAGCCATTTCCACCAATTGGCTGAAAAAGGACTACCAAAAAAAAAAGTTTATAGTAGATTATACTAATTAGCTAGCTTATACGATAAATTTATCAAAAATATTCTTGTTGAATAATACGTACTGGTAACTTTGATTATGAAATTTTGTCATGCAAAATAGAGTCAACAAAGTGAAAAATAATAACATCGCATCCAAAAGAATAAAACGACTTATACAAAGATAAGCGGTGTCTAAAGAAACAAATAAAGATATTCAAAATATTATTATTATTATTATTATATTATTTTAAATATACATATACATATACATATAAAAAAAAAACAAAAGAAAAAAAAATCACAATTATTATCACTTACCAAACAACACCATTAAAGTTACTAAAATTGTGGAATGTTTCGAAAAACCCAATTCAATTGACGTGAAATATGCCAAAGGAACCATCAAAACTCCAAATGATGCCATAAATATTCTCATAAATGTATAATTTAAATCTTCTGGATATCTCGTCGCGGATTCAAAATCAAATGATCCATCATACCCAGCAAGCCATCCTGCTAATGCGACTATCATTTTACCAAGAGGTGGATGTACATCAAAGTAAAATTCTCGATTAAGATAATGCGATGCAAACTAAATAGAAATTTTCAAAAAATGAAGTCAAAACAAAAATATATAACAAAACATGATCAACATCATAGTTTGTACTTACTTTGCCAAAATGTGACTTTGATCAATAAATTTTATAATGAGGTTAGAATTTACGATATTTCATTAATTAAGGTAATAATATTAAAAATCGATTTACCTCATCCCACATTACGACATCTGACAATGATATTAAATAAAATCTCGTCAAAAAAGATAAGAAAGTGAAGCATAGAGGATGAATGGTATTGTAATATTTATTGTAAAAGTTTCGAATCGTAGATAGAACCGGCGCTATTGTCTTTTGTAACTACATTGAATAAAAGGAATTAAGCGCCTTATAACAATCAGAAATAAATAATAAAAAATAAAAATATTATTTACTTTAATAGAGGATAAAAGAATCGATTTCATAGATTTTCGTTTATCGTCGAATACAATTGGTTCCAAGACTCCATTTTGGAAAGAAGTAATATGTCTACGCCTTAAATTATCCATTTCTGAAAAAAATTTTTATTAAAAATTTTTTTCGTTTGACGAATTTTTAAAGAGAAACTCCTTCTTTTATATAACAGAGGCTAAATTAAATCGAATTACGTGTTATGTAAATAATTGGATAATTGTTTACAATCAGTATACCTAATGAAATAAATCTGGTTCATTTTTTTTCATAAGGGTAAAGTCCCCTTTGGATAAATGTAAAAGTTTCGTGAGAACAAGATTACAATTTGATCTACAATCAGTTTTATACAAAGCAGGGAACACAATGGTATGGCCCGATTAAAAAGGATAGACATTTTCGATCTAATTGCTATTAATAGCTTGACATATGAAAAGTTCGTTAAATCTTTTATTAATCAGGTTTGGCGTTGAAACAACAAGAAAGTAACTGGATTCGAAAAAAAAAAAATTTTTTCAATGTCTACAAAAGAAAACTTACCTTTTGTCCATACTTGGGTGATAAAGGATTTTCAACATTTCTATGATAAACAAAATTTGTTGCGTTTTATAATAAGTGAACCTTTTAATTCACCGGTTTCAATTAATTCAAGTAATGAAACAAACCTAGAATATACTTGGAGACTTATTGTTGATATTGAAAATATCAGAGAGGATATATCGTTGTTTATTGTAGCATTGCAAACAGATTTTGAAAGGAAAAAGAACGCAAACGATAGAATTTCAGCTTTTGAGTTCAAAGTATTTAAGAATCAATATGGAAACAAGAATCCGGTTGAAGAATTAGGAACGTTGAATAAAATTTCTTTTATTCATAAAACAAGGTTTGGAATTAAAAACGCACATGGAGGAAAACTATGTAAGATCAATCAGTTACTTCCAAATAATAATACATCTATAAGAACAGATATTATTATTCGTGCTCACATAATTGAACCTGAACGAGTACAACTAAATGACTTCAATGACTTCAATGACTTCAATGACAACAACACAAATCCACCTTTATTACTTTCGCCTTCATTGGAACAATTTTTTAATAATCCACATTTCAGCGATGTTATATTTACATTTGATTGTGGATCAGAATTGAGCGCGTCTCGTCTTGTCCTTGCAGCTAAATCAACTTATTTCATGAATATGTTCTCAGGTGCATGGTTAGAATCAAATCAATCAAGGATTGTCATTAAAGGTTCAAAATATGAATATTATAGGGAATTGATTTATTATTTTTATAACGGTTCGCTTGGTTCTGGTTTAGATTTTGATGTACTAAAGGGTCTGTTTAACGAGGCCAATATGTGTCAAATTGAAGATTTGGTTAGAATCGTTGCAAATAGGATTGTAAAAATGATTTCGAATGAAATTTGGCATGAAATTTTGCTAATGGGCTGGCGATTTAATAACAACGATTTAAAGGAAGGAGGGCTAAAATATGTATATGAAAATTGGATGAATATAAAAGATACGGAAAACATGAAATTTATAATAGAGAATTTGAATGTCGAATGTATGGAAGAGTTAATGGCGGCAAGATTCTTTGGAGTCGGAAAATAAAAATTGAGACTGTCACGATAAGATTGATTCTTGATTACAAAATCTTAAATATATCAACAATTATTTATTATAATGATATATTATATAATGTTAAAAATAAATAAATAAATTAATTAAAAAAAATTATATATATATATATTTGTAAATAGAAGAAAAAAATTGTTTGTTTTCCTAGTTATTTTTTTCAGTTTACAAATCTAAAAAATTTAATGTAGTAAAATTACAGAAAAATGTTTGAAATGATGAAAATGTAATATTTAATGCAAATTTCTATAAATCCCTCTCACATCCAGAATAAATTAAATAAATAAATTATGATTAATTGAATTGTTTGTACAAACAAAATCTTTATAAAATAATGTACATATAAAATGATGAATTATAAAAAAGATTGAATGAGTTTTTTTTTTTTGACGAAGAAAGTTAATATTCTTATTAATTGAGATACTGCTACTAATTCTTTCATTATAACGATATTTTTTTTTTTTTTTTTGAATTTTAGAAATCAACTTTGACTTCTATAGAAATTTAATTGAATTGTTTATCATAGAAAGGTTAGGGTAAATTGTCCATAATATTATTTTAACCCCAAAGTGATGAATGATAAATCCGAGAATTTTACATTTATTTAATCCTTACCCCCACAATACTTGAAATTTTTTTTTTTTTTGATTTTTTGTAGAATTAACAAAAGAATGCAAGGTCGGGACGTAAAATTCTTGCAAATATCAAAATATTGGGGGATAAAAGAAAAATTAAATAATCAGGTAATGAAGTTCTTAGAAACACATAAACTTGCTCTTCTTAGCCATGAGTTGTTCCATCTGGCTTTCAAGATCTAATCGTGCCTTTTCGGCTCTTTCTTTCGCCTTACGTTCTTCCTCCAACATATTATCCATAGCTTTCTTTTCCTCCTGTACAGTTGACCTAGTTTGCTCTACTTGTAATTGAGCTTCATCTAATTGCACTTTCAAATTCTTGATTGTTTCGACAAATTCTTGTTTTTCTTTTTGTAATATTGTCAATTGTTGTTTTGCTACACGAAGATTTGTTTCATTATCATTAAGAGATGACTCCAAAGTTTCAACAAGTTGTCGATTTTCCAAGTTTTCGCCCTCCATTTTCGCGATTTTCTTGTGTAAATTTTGGATTTCTGACGCAAGCTCCGAATTATAATTACTTGAGTCAGAACCTTTCCGTGATGAAACAGAATCAGGTCGAGGCATTAGTGGTGCACGTGGTGGAAGTCCGATAGACAAACCAGGCGTTGCTGGAGGTGTACAGGGGCTTTGTGGATATGATGGAGGAGGTGGTGGCGGATGGTTTGGTGGTGGCATTGGTGGTGGTGGTTTTGACCGATTTCCGGTCATAGAACGCATACTCCTTTTAACTTCTGATGAGTTAGAAGTTGCTGATGACGCTGAATTTCTGTTTCCTGGTTCGTTATCAAATGATCCTCTTTCAAGTTCCATGATCTTTTCTTTAAGCGTTTTAATAAGATTATGTTGTTGTGCGATTGTACTTTCTTGTCGTGAAAGTTTGGCATGCACTGAACCATCAACGCCCGAACGTGAACTTTCGCTACTTAAACTATCACGTGGACTTGTTAATGGTGGAGAATTATATCCATTTAAACTTTTAGAACCATCACCAATTTCTTTTTCGAGCATTTCATTCACTTTTAACAAATGAGCAATTTCTTTCTCCATTTCTTTTGATTCTGCTCTTGAATTTTGTTTCAAATCGAAAAGCTCTCTCTCAAGTCGTAAAATTTGTTCATTTAATTGGGCAATTTGACCTGCCGTTTTATTTCCACCGTTTCCTATTGTACGTAGTTGTTGAATTAAGGATTCAATTTTCTGATCTAGCTTATTACGTTCTTTGTAGAATGACTCATTACTTTCTTCTAAACCTTCTTTTTCATATTCAAGTTCTCTTATTTTTTCCTCTAATCTCTTTATTTCTTCTCCTTCATTTGAATTGAGACGAGGTAATTCTTTTTCCAAAGATTTAACTTTATTAGTTAGCATGAGCGTTGTATGTTCCGCTTCGGCGATCTTTTTATTAAGATCATCATTGGTTTGACGCAACTGTTCATTTGCAGCTGCTAGTTTTGCTAATGCTGAATTTGCTATATCTGATCGAGGTGTAAAGTTCTCATTATTTTTGGCTTCTTCAAGAGCAGATTCCAATTCAATAATACGACCTTTTTGTTGTTTTGATAATTCATCCGCATCTTCAAACTTTGAAGCAGCCTCTGCGAATTCTTCAGCTAACGTTTCCAGATCCTTTTGAAGTTTATCGACTTCGTCTTCTAAGTCTTCATTTCTCTCAAATTGAACCAATTTGTCGGCTTCAAGTTGTTGAGCAGTCTTTTCTAATTCAGAAATTCGTTCACGATTAATAATTACTTCTTCATGAGCTTTTCTGAGTTGGTTCGTAAGTTCTTCGATCATCTTATCGTCAATCTTTTCATATTTCTCAATAAATGAATGATGATTTATTTCATCAAGTTCGTTTTGTAATTGTGAACATTTTTCTTGAAGCAAAACGATTTCATTGTTAGCCTCTTTTAATCGGTGCATCTCTTCATTACGACGATCTTTCATTTCACGAAGTTTAATTTCTAAACTTTTTACTTTTTGATTTTGTTTCGCTTCTGATGATTTGATCTTACTAATTTCCGATTTAAATGATTCGATTTCGGTAGACGTTGAAGCCACAGTAAGGTCATGCTCAAGTTTCTTAGAAGTTTGAAGCTCATTCTGAGTTTTTAGTATTAATTCTTCCAGCTCAGCTATGATTGTATCTTGGTTATTTATTCCTTCTTCTTTTTCCAAAATTATATTCATAACTTCTTGTAATTTACTTTCTAATTCGGAAATAACATTTGTTTGCTTTTCTTTGGACTCTTTAGCTTCTTTGAGCTGTGATCTCACCATGGAAAGATTTTCTTCAAGGCTATTAATGGTTTCTTTATTCAAATTTGAAGAATTTTTTGCAAGAGAAAGTTCGGACTCCAAAGTAATTAAAGTAGATTCAAGTTCTCCAATGGCATCTTTTTGATAAGTTTCTCTTTCTTCAAGAACATTCATTAACTCATTAACACGTTTCAAGTGTTGGTCACGTTCCTTTTCGATAATCGACATTTGAGTTTCTAATTCATTTATCATTTCAGTTTGAGCCAACATTTCAAGTTTTGTATTTGCTAATTCTTCCCTTAAAGCGCCAACATTTCCTTTTCCAGCGACTCCAGCAATCTTATAAGTTTCAAGTTCAATTTCTAAAGTTTTAATTTTTCTTTGCGCATCATCACGCGCTTTTTGAGTGTCACTTAATAATCTTGATATTTCGTCAAGTTCCTCGGAAGACGTAGATGTATTCTCTTTAGCTGAAGCAAATTCAAGTCTTAAATTTCTTAATTCTTCTTCAAGGGAAACTACAAGTTCTTTTTGTAAACTAAACCCTCCTTTCATAGTTTGAAGTTCTCTAATAGCTGCTTCTTTGGAAGATCTAATTTTTTTCAATTGTGATTGTAATTGTTCGATTGTTGATTTCTGCTCAATTTCTAATTGTTTCAAAAGAACAACTTCTTCTTTTACTGTTTCAAAAATTTTAACTTCTTTCTGAGCCGATGCATATTTTGATTCCAAGTCATAAACCGTCCTGCGAAGATCTGCTTCGGAACCTTTCAATCCAGCAATCTGATCTCTTAAATTTGCAATGTCTGGATTTTCATCTTTAACAAGTTCCAGTCGAGTTTCAAGAGTGTCGATTTTCTTACGTTGTTCACGTTCATTGTTACGCATATTATCGAGTTCTTCTTTCAATTGTTTAACTTGTTGTAAGTCCTTGTTTGATTGAGCTTTATAATTGCTTTCTAACTCTTGAATTTTCTTTTGTTGTTCAGCTTCTTTAAGATTTAATTCTACGAGTTCACGTTTAAGAGCACCAACTTGAGAATCTTCTTCCGCATTCTTTAATTGAATTTCCAATATTTCAATTGTTTCCTTTTGTGCAGCTTCGGATTTCTTTGCCAAGGTTAATTCAGTTCTAATCTTCACGAGGTCTTCATCTACCATCCCTCCTTTTTCTTCAAGCCTACTTTCCAGGATCATGATTCTCTCTCTTTGAGAAATTTCAATATTTTTCAAATGTTCTAACTGTTCATGTAAATGAGATTCTTCATTATCGGATCCCAATCTGGCTTTAAGAACGCGAAGTCGATCAAGTGCTACAGCTTCTCTGCCTCGAACTTCTTTAAGTTCATTCCTTAAAGTTTCCAATTCAGATTGAAGAACCTTGTTAACATCAGACCCATTTTCCAATTTGTAAAGTCGATTCTTGAGTTCTTTCATTTCATTCTCTAAAACTTCTTCTTGTTTATGAACTTCCATAAGTTTTGTTCGGTAAGCTAACGCTTCAGCCTCTTTTTCTCGTAATTTCTGTTGAAGTGATGATTTATCGACAAGATCTCGTTTCAAGATATCGATCAACTCATTTTTATGATTAATGTCCACCTTAAGTGTTTCAAGTTGGTCTTGAAGTGCAACCACCATTTCTTGTTCTTCTCTCAAATTTTCAATTGTATCAGACTTATGAGCAAGTTCTTGTTGCAAACTTTCGAGTTTTGTTTGAAGACCGTCGACAGTTTTGTCGGTAGGATCTACATATTCGATGGAATTACGTGGTGTTGGAACGTGTTGAGCTTCTTTCGCCTTTGTGAGTTGGTTTTCAAGTTCTTTGATCTTTTCTTCCAACTCTAAAACATGTTTGTCAGTTGATTCATTGGAATTATATTCATCTTCGGACTCTTCAGAAATTGTAGTTAATTTACTATTTTTCCCTTCGAAAACGAAACGATAGGTGTCTCTAGCCTCTTGAAGCTCTTCTTCAAGTTTTCGAATGGTATTCTGATGTTCGATTGAAGGGAATAAGATGGCAGCAATAGTATGACTTTTAGCTTCAATTTCACTTTGAAGTTTATCAACTTGTTGCGTGAGTTCCAAAGTTTCTGGGGTTGAATTAAGTTCAGAAATTCCTTCCAACCGTGACACTGCTTCGTTTACACGAGCTTGTCTTTGGGCTTCCTGTGCGATGATAAGTTGTTCTTCTAAATCTTTTACTCGAGTTTGCAATTTATAAACACCATCACTTTCCTTTTGATCCCTTTCTGAAACTGCACGTGACATTTCAGCTCTAAGCTCTACAATGGTTGATTCGATTTTCATAATTTCTTCACTCTTGGGGTCAATTTCATCTTTGGAAAGAAGATCAAGAGCACGACGTTGTTCTTCCTTGAGTTGTTCAACTTCTTCGCGAAGACGATGAACTACATCAAGTTGATCGATTTCACTAGTGGCAGCAGAATAACCACCGTCCGTATAAGAATATTCTGATGCGGTCATTACAGACATGACTTCAATCTGAGCAAGCGCGTCTCTTCTTTTGATTTCTTCGCGTAATTCTTCAACAATTTCAAGAGTTTCAAGATGGTTAATTTCCAAGCGAGCAAATTCTTGTTTAACGGCGTCCAAGCCCGCTGCTTTATCGTCATGAAGTGACTCCAATTGTTTAAGTTCAATTTGCAGTTTTTGAACCATAGCCAAACTAGAAAGTTCCTTCTTTTCTGCCCCTTGAATTTCAGCAGAAAGTGATCTTGCTTTACGATGAGATCCATGAGAGAATGGGGATAAGGCATTAGGATCGCTAAACATTTCACTTGAAGTATCATTCTGTGCCAACTTATCAATATCATCAACTTCCAATTGTAACACCTTAGTTCCCGAAAGTTGTGTATGAAGATTAGTTATTTCTTCAAGACATAATTTATACTTCTCTTTAATGTCATCAAATTCTATGACAGTTTTTTCATGATTTTTTTGCAATTCATATAATTTATCCTCCAAATTCGATATTGTGGAAAAATCTCCAGTGGGCATTGGGGTTGTAGAACTAGGCGGGGTTGAAGAAGGTGTATCAACCTCATCTGAGGCTGATGAAGAAGATGAAGACGATCTATGATGCTTCTTACGTTGAATTTTTGTAACGTCAACTTTTAATTGCTTCAATTGAGAAATTTCGGTAATTAATTCATCAACTTTCTTCTCTAGTTCGGCAATTCTACTGTCACGATCTTCAATTTCTGACAATAATAAATTTTGATATTCATCATCATTATTCCTCTCCTTTTGATATTTAGTTTCTAATTTCTTATAAGCTTCATCTCGTTCGCTTAAAGCTTTTTCCAATCGTTGTGAAGCTTCATTCATGGATGAAACTCTGTCTTCACTTTTAGCCAATCGCGTTTCGAGTTTCTGAATAATACTTTCACTATTCTCTTCAGTTGAACGAAGTTGAGCGATCCTATTTCGGAGTTCATTAATCAATTCTTGATCTTTCTTTTGTTCACCAGAATGTGCATCAATTTTATTCTCAAGATCTTTAATATAATTCTCTGTTGTCTCCTCACGTTCATTAAGTCTTGCAATTTTATTCTTGAGATCATTAACCAAATTTTTGTTTTGTCCATTTAACTCTTCAGCCTCATAAAGTTTCAACTCATGTTCGTGCATCATTTTTTCCGATTTATTTAAACAGGAACGCGTATAAGAAAGTTGTTGTTCAAGATCAGAGATAGATTTCTCATATTCGGCAATTACAGGTTCAACGGTTTTCTGAAATGTTTCAGCGGATTGATTAAATAAACTTTTATCATCAGCCTTTAAATTTTCGAAATTGTCTTGATATTTCGTAAGTTCAGCCGAAGTTTTTGCATACTTTTGAGTAAGTTCGATATAAGAACGTTGTAACTCTTTTAGTTGATCTTCAAGACCTTCAATGTCTTTATTCCTGTTATTTGATGAAAACCCATTTGGAATATTAGTTATTATGCTAAGTGGTGATGAAGGTCTTCGTCCGTGACTGAACGAATCAATACCATTAGGTGGGAGTGTAGGTGTATTTCTTCCTGATACCGGAGTAGCAGGACAGGAAGCGTTAATTCCGGTCGCTAACCTTAAAGCTTTGATTTCGGCCCTTAACTTTAAGACAAGATGTTGTAAATGTTCTAAATCATACCACCCGGCTTCTTCTTGATTTACAGTAGCAGAATTCTTAATATTACGAGCTCTGTTAGCGTACTTAAGTGTATTAATCGTTTCGCTTATATTATACTCTGCCGGTGAAACACACGCTATCATTAATGTTTGAGCGTTCCCACCAAGAGAGTCTTGTAATAACCTAGTGAGCTTAGAGTCACGATAAGGGATATGCGTCGTACCCTTCGCTTTTGATGGATCACCTAAGGAAGAAATTACATTTCCTAACGCGAGAAGACCAGAATTAATAGAAATTCCCTCCTTCGCTCGATCTCCTGAAGCGGCGGTACGTTTGAGCTTTTGCAATGAAGAAAGAAGATACTAGTTAGCTTTTTGAAAGTTTACCAAGAACATACGCACATCGTTATATTTCCATCCACTTACCCTTTCACTACCAGCCAAATCCACGAAATTAAATTTACTCGTAACACAGACCCAATCACCATCATCAATCATTTTACTTAGCCTAGAACCGGCCCTTGATGGTGTTGAACTAAACCTTGTTGGCGTTGATGGACGGGTGGTTGGGGAATTAGGTGTTGGACTTGTAACACCATTTGAAGATATTTGCTTTTGCTGACACAAGGTTACAGAGAAGATGGCATGTGATCGTGAAGATTGTGAGTTCATATCGGTTGCGCCAACTTGTCTGTTTAATGATCCACGTGCCAAATGTCTGAAATCAAATGAATAAAAAATTTTTTAAGAATGCCTGTATATGTCTGGATTAAAAAAAATGAAATGAAATGATAAAATGATAGTTAACTTACCCTATCACCTCTTCCACACTATTAACTTTTATTTCTTGTAATCCACTCCAAATTATATTACCCTTTGAATCTTCTCGGATCATTACTTGTGGTTTATTCTCATCATCACCTTCGGCTAGCAAATCAATCAAATCTTCATTATAGATTTCGATAAACGATACTTTTATTGTAATTTTACGGGATTTAAACTGGGTAGAATTTATATAAGAGAAGAGTGTGTAGAGGGCACGTGGAATTATACCACGTGACTCTGGATCCGAAGAGACATTATCGGATGTCCCCATTGTATGCGTTTTACCCGATGAAGTTTGACCATAAGCAAGAATAGTTACGTTGAAACCTTTTAAAAGTGAAAAATTAAAAATAAAATAAAATATTATTGTTTTGCTCTGTCTTTTTTCCCTTTCGACTCCGTGGTAGCACGTGATATCCTTTTGATTCGCGTCATTAGTGATATCATCCGTAGTAATTTTCAATAGTCAATACTGTACCTTCCAAGTACTTATCCACCATATTTCTAATGGCTTTATCGTAAATTTCCTTTTGCAGCGTTTCAGGGCCAAATACATAATCGAAGCTAAATGACTGTTTCTTATCACCATGAACAACAACTTGATTTGGCGTAAATGGAGAAGTAGATATGACATTTCTCTGAAATCTTGAAGGTAAAGTAACTAAATCTTCTTGTGTGAGAGGTCTTATACGAAGAGCTATGAAAACAAAGGATAGAGGTTAATTTTTTATCTTTGAACAAAGAGTAACCAATTGAATGATCAAATGTTGAAAAACGAGTTTATGCTTTGATTCTTACCTACTTGTACTGTCGTGTTTTCAGAAGTTGAATTAGTCATTTTGGTTTTTTTTTTTGATTGCTTGTTTGAAAAATTTTCAATACAAAGAACTCTTTAATTTCCTTTTAATTCTTTTAATTCTTTTTTTTTTGAAGTGCTTGAATGAAATAAATAAATAATTTTTTTTTCCTGGAACCAGCCCAAGCAAAGAGAGACTAGTCAAAAAGAAAAAAAAAAACGTTAAATATACTCTTATTTTTCGTCGATAAGTTTTTTTTTTTTTTTTTTTTTTTTTTCACGCTAGGTCTTTTTTGTTTTTGAAATATGTACGTTAATTAAATTAAATTTTTATTTTTTAGTTTTTAGCAAAGCTTTTTCTTCAAAATAAAAAAAAAAAATAAAATAAAAAAAAAAAAGGATTATTTCTTCACAAGGATGATGATGTTCTTTATGAAAGGAGAGAAAAAAAAAAAAAAGTCTCGGAAGATTTTTTGGAAAGAAAGAAAAAAAAAAAAAAGGGAATGTAGAGTTATGATAAGGGGAAAAAATAATTTAAACTTGTCGTTAATAAAAAAAGTTTGGTCGTATTTGCAGCTGGATTTGCAGATGGTTTTGTAAGTTCTTTAACTTTCTGCTCTTTTGTTTATGTGTAGCACAACTTAAACAATTTATTTTACTTTTCGAATCAATAATGAACGAATGAATGAGGATTGATTGTATTAGTAAATAGAAATTATTAAAGGGGAGGGTGGTAATAAAAATTTAAAAGGGAAAATGTTCGGAAGGAAAGGATTGTTTTAAAAAAAAAGAATTTTTTTTTTTTTTTTTTTTTTTTGGTTTATAAAATATTAATATGTATGTATATATATATAAGGTCACTTACTCTCTTCTTACTTTTCGCAAATGCATTATTGGTGATTTGTTATGCATGGCATTGTCGTAAACAGTGATTAACCTTAGTTGGAATTCTTTGATGCGTTTCCTAATAAAAATTTTTACAATGTACATTAAAAAAAAGGGTTGGAGTAACAAAAAGATAAATTAATTGCATTTTTCCATTTTTGTCAAACTGTCTACATGAGGTTTTGTTGGTACATTCGAGTATAACGTAAAACAATCGATAATATTAAAAAAATTCATTAAAAAATAATTGAAATATACTGTACATACTTGTGCTTTGGTAAATGTACCAATCGTAATCCAAGTAAACTTTAAGCCCCACCACGTTTTGATTTTATTTATATATTAATACCATGTCACAACTTTCAATTTTTTCAATCAAACTTTAAAAAGGAAGAGAGAGATAGAGATAGAGGATAACCAATCAAAGATCTCATCATGTAAAAAAAAAAAAATAACAAATATTCGGTAGATGCGCAATAATCAGTAAAGGGAAAAAAACATTTAATATTTTGGCGGGAGTGACCAGCATTGGATCAACAACTGTGTTTGGCGCAGTAGATTTCTAAAAGTAAAATTAAAATTACGGAAAATCTAATAATCTAAATTCGTGAAAAAGAATTTTTTCCCTCCTCCTTTAAATCTGTGTAAGCATAGATTAAACAATACATGCAACCTTTAAAACGTTCCCCTTGATACGTTAAAAGGTCAAAATTCCAACTTCTCGCTTCTCGTCTTCAAAAAGGCTATTCGAGCTTTGTTTATTTTTAATTGCATTGACAGGATTAGATAACCGATTCGAAAAACTTGTTAGGTCATATCAACTTCAGTTATTATATCAAGTAAATTCAAAAGGAGCTCTGAACACAACTTAATCGCGCATTTGCAAGATCGATTGAGACATACAAGAAAACTACGCATGATTATTCAAATAATGATTATGAATGGATTTGTAATCTACAAATCAAAAGAGACATGTCAAAATCAGAATCATACGAAAAAAAAAAAAAATAAATTTTTCCTTGTTTTTTTTTTTTTTTTTTTAATAAATCCGGATGTCGTATTCCATCAAAATGATGAAAATATTGCATAAATCTTTATTAATATTTTTCTTACCAAGAAATCGTGCCCTTCGGATTATTTTTTTTGGGGGGGTGATATGACAACAAAAATAAAAATAAAACAATGTGGCGATTTTTTTTTCTTTTACTTTACGTTATTTTTAAATTTTAATATTCATTCATTCATTGTAGATTAAATTCTTTGAAAATTTTTTCAAAAGGGAAATTTGCAATGATGCGCTTCATGCGCCATGTACATTTCGTATCTTGATGATGATTCGATGACAATTTTTTTTTATGCCGAATTTGTCTAGACGACTTATCATGTGCGATCATTTTGTGTGGTGGAACGAAAACATCATCGAGAAACTATCTTTGCATTAGAATATTAGAATACCAATGACAAATGACACCAAAAAATAGTAGCACCAGTAATATTTACTTAATAATTTTTAATTTTCGAAAAAAAAAAAAAGGAAAAAGGGAAATGGTTCTCAGAATTCGAAAATAAATATATATATATATATAGAACGAAATCATTGGTCACTACGCGCATGTACAAATCATGTGATAAATATCAAAGCGTAAGAAGGCCAAAAAAACTTTCATAAAATTTCAAATTTAATTAATTTTTCTTTTTTCCGAAAGATGGAGTGTTTCGCTCCCAAAACTTAAACACAGTTCATTCAATATAAATATTGTATGCATATTTAATCACTTTAAATTAATACTTAAATTAATTACCAAGTAATTGTTTAATAATTCAATTGAAAAATGTCATTAGAATACAATTCTTGAAACACGGGACAAATAATAAACAATAAAATCAAATGACTAAACCTAGGTTGTGGGCCGCAGTAAGAAATAATTCTTCTAGCAACACTTTCTCCCCAAAAATTAAATATCACCGAAATAATAATATACAAAGAGTGAGAACCGCATACATAATATTAATTTTATTAATACTTCTTGAAATTTGAGGTTTTTTTGTTCGATAATTTTATAAGCGAAAATTGTTAAAAACGGAAATTTATTACATAACTCGGGCCGGCATTATAATTAGATAAAATTTTTCGTAAGAAACCAATAAACCTGAAATTATGGATTCGCTATTTTCGTCGTGACTTGATTGATACATTAAAAACGAGTCAAATTTTAAATTCTTTCAGCAAATTGACATTTTGATCTCGACTAAAGTATAATTGCCTGGTAAAACTCTCGGCGAAGCAATCTAGTTTTAGCACTTTTGGCAGGTTTCGACGGGGTTATTGGCAAAACTTATCATAAAATTTTATTGGCAAAACCGTCGAAACTCGAAACAGGTCAAAATCTTTGTTGTGGTACGCTCGAAGAAAGCTTACTGAGCCAACATCTTATCAATTAAGAGTCGCTGGTTGACTTCAACACGTTCCTCCTAATTTGAAAGAACTTTATTTTAAAAGCGTCTAGAGACATTGAGGATTATTAAGAAGATAATAAATAATAAGTCTTTTAAAAATGCCGTTATCAATTGATTTTTTTATGTTAATTAATTACGATCGGAATATCTTTCATAATTAGTCCGGAACGAAGTGAAAGACTATATGTCTATGCAAAGTGTCCTGATGTCCGCCCTCTCTCGATGCTTGATTGACTTTTGCAATTGAACAAAAGTATCGATAAAGCAAATGCCATTGTGAATTTTTTTTTTTAGTTAAGACGGACTTAACTAGGGATTAGAATCGATTTGAGAATCGATTTAATCGCGATTATCGTTTCTCCAAGATTCGACTCTAAGATTCGATTTTCGATTTCGATTAATCGAATATAATCGATTCATTTAGTTAGGTGCTTGAGAACACTCTAAATCCGGAAAATAAAACAAAATATTAAATTAAAAAAAAGTAGGGGATATATATATGCAAATTAAAAAAATAATTAAAAAATATTAAAATAAAATTAAAAATTAGAACGCGCCTTCGTATTGTTTGACTTTTTAATTTTTACGTTAGCTAAATTTTTAATTAGAACATAAAGTTAATAATTTAATATTTATTATAGTAATATTATTTAATATTATCGTTATAACTTGAAATCAACTTACCATAACGTTTATTAGACATAATATTATATGAAATTAGACCTTTATCACATCCTCAATTAGGTATATTATATTTTTTATGGACATAAATGGTAGTAAATCTTTCTTTATCTAATTTTTATCCTCTGTAATAAATTAATATAAATAATTTTTTTTAAATAAAAGAAATAAAAATAAAAAATTTACATACTGTAAGATAGCGGTTAATAACTTGAGATCCCTTCCACGACAATTGCATAATGCATGAGCTGCTTCTGCACTTTCTTCAATTGCTTGAATATCATCAAATAATTGATTAACAGCATGTTCTAATTCAGCCGTAAGAAGCGTGAGCATTTTGTTTTTTATAATATCACTAAACTCCTTTTCTTGAATTTTTCTATATATTAATATTAAATAAATTAGTTTTTATTTAAATAAAATTTATCTATAAATAATTTACCTTTTATAATGAACTATACATGATTTAAAAATATGAACCAAGTGCTCCTTCCAATCCTTTGTATTATCAATTTCATTTAAAACTAATCCAATTCCTTTAGCTTATGCATAATCTAAATCTGCAATAATACAATTCCAGCCAGATCCATTAATATGTTCAAATTTAGGGGATAAACCTGTTAATTGAAATACAAGGTCAAATAATATATGTAAAATTCTTTGGTATGCAACTGTAATTGCATAATTTGTAAAAATATAGGTAAATGTAAGAACTAAAATAAATAAAATAAATATCAATTAATATTTATATAATTTTAAATAATATATAATACTAATTTTTATTATACAATAAAAAACTTACTTAGATTACGTTCATTATTTATAATAATTAACTTCAAATTCATTCATTTTACCTAATACACATTTAAAAGATAAATTAGTTTAAAAATGCTTGCATTTTGTCCACTTAGTTAATTGTTTAGGAGTTGTACAAATAATTAATATATGTTTTTCTTTAAAGAATTCTAATAATAAATATATTATTTATTTAAATTACTATTAAATAAAATAAATACAAAATGTAAATTTTATTTTTAATATTACCTAAACATTTTATATAATCACAAAAATTATTAATATTACATGAATAGTTATAAACAACTTCAAGCAATCCATATCCTTGTAGATGAATTTCTTTTCAAATTTTATCAACATAATACTGAAGATGATCAGTATTATTTAAAAATGCATATATATCAGAAAGATATTTAAATAGTAGCATATTGCCATAAATTCCTAGTTTTTATGATGCAACGTACAATATTTGTATAACAAGAGAAAAAATTTAATTTGTATAACCATAAAATCTAACGAGATCTCAATTACTGTGATTAATTGTACTAGTACAAACAGGTGCAATTTTGTATAACCAGAAGTAAAAATATGACTTTGTTCATATTAGGAATTTGCACTTTGCAAAGATTATTATATTCATTAGAGTCTAAAAAAATAACTATGCGGATGTTGATTAAGAGATCAGCAGAAAGTTTTTCATGTATAATACCTGTAAAGGTAGCATAGTTAAAATAATATTTGTCAGTAATTTCAATGATCTTTTGTTGAGAGTTCACTCTAGGATATTTTTCAAGCGAACAGTATATAAAAAATTTTTCAGCACTAAGGAGTAGTGCAATGAAAGCAACTAAAGTGGTATTAATAGTATTTTCAGACATATCAAATAGATCGTCAATATTTATTTCATCTTTTTTGTTATTATTTATTGCAGTGTTAGTAACTGTGTCAGTTTTTTTAGCTTTACTTTTATCAAGAAATAGGGGTATAGTTTCAGATGTTTAATCAATTTCCTTAGTAACTACAGGAGGTTGTTTAATATTAGAACTTTTAATGATGGCTTCTTATTTGATTATTTGAGTGATATTCTGTTTTTTGTGTGGTGATTTTTTTTTACTAGTAATGCAAATTAACTATGATTGTTAAATTTTGTTGATTTTTTAGACATTTTTTGGTGATTAGCAAAAAGAGTTTTTATCTGATAAAAATTATTGTATGATTAAATTTAATAAGTATTAAGATAAATTTTCTGATAATCTTTTCCTTTTAATATTTTTTTTGCATCTTCGTTATTATGGTAAATTAGAATTTATTAATTATTTAATTTAATTAAATTTATTATATAATTTAATACAAATTTATTTATTTTAGACAGTGATATAAATTCAAAAAAGTTTCATAATATTACTTTTAAAGCAGAATAAATTTTAAAAAACATGGGACATATAAGAAATTATGTAAAAAACTACTCACTCAGATGTGAAAATATATAAAAAAAAAGTATCATTTAACTAAAAATTTAATTAATCAGATACACCAACAATCTGGTAGAAAACATTAAATACAAAAGATAAATGGAAGTTACAAGTCTTACTATTTCGTCTTTTTGTTATAACTCTACATAGTGCATTTTATGAACGGTTCTTTTTAGTTTTAGGTTAGTTTTATAGATAAAGATATACTAATTTAGCTATAGATTGAATAGAAGGAATGTGTAAATTGTATACTTATTATATTACAAATACTAAATATAAATTACCTTATTATTTAATTGATATTTCTGAAAATTCATTGCATAAAAAAATGATAAAAACTATTACAGAAATTAGTTATAAATTAGAAAATAAAGATTTTAAATCTTTTTATGATAAAGATGTAGTTAATTTAATAATAGATATGTCTCAAATATATAATCTAAATATTTTATCAAATGTGAATATTAGATCTAACTTTTTAATATGGATCGAAAGGAATCTGAAAATAAAGTAATACCAGTTTGTCAAAAGAAACAAACTTAATATTAGATCACAAATATAAAGATTATAATATTGAGGCATTAATGATCAGAAAAATTAATGAAAGTTAATTAATATAATTAAATAAATAATAAATATATTAAAATAAACTAAAATAATAAATAAAGAAATGCATATAAATAAAGAAAAATTAATAATTTTTGAGATTAAAATGTTTGTTAGTTTTAGCTTATAATAAAATATTTTTAGAATTTCAATTTATAGTAAAATTTAGTTTCGGTCTATATATAGTTTTGACCAGAGTTTTGGATTTTGGTATTAATTTTGACTAAGATTTCAGATTTTCAGTTTTAGCTATATGCTCAAAAGATTTTAATCACATATATAAATTAGATGGTTTAAAATAAGATATAATAGTATATAGATATTAATACTCAAAAAAATAATAACAAAAATTATGCTAATTTCTTGTTAATTAAATAATAAATGATATTTAACCAATTAATATTATTAATAATTCAAAATTTTGCTAATTTATTTTTTAACTTTTATTATTCTTTATATAAAATCTATAAAGGCTATTATATATGTAGCATTTAATTCTTCCTTTTTAAAATTACAACAAATTATTCAAAATCAAGTTAATTCAGTATTTTTAATTTTAGATCTTTAGACAGCTAAAAATTGTGTAAATTATTTTGGAATTACTTGTTTTTTCTTAATAATACATTTAATTTAGGTGAATTTATTTTAGATATTGCTTATATAAGATATTTATATACTGCTGATTATATTTTATAATCACTTGAGTAAGTATTAGAAAAATGGAAAATTTGTGATTTAGTATTTACTGTTATAACTAATAATGATAGTAATATTAAAAAAGTAATTTAAAATATAAAAGGAGTTAATTAATTAAGATGTATAGTATATACTATATATCTTATAATATTAGCGAAAAGTAATTAGAAAAAATGTTATAATAAAATTCAAATTTCTCTTACAGTTTACATCTAATCAAAAAATATTTCACATAATAATAATATATTCCTTGATCTTCATATTTATTTATATATATAATATCACTTATAAATTTTATTTTCAAATAATTATGGTGTGTATTACCTTGAATAACGTCACTCAATCATAATCTTTTTATAGAACTCTAACAATCAAAATGCTAAAACTTTACACAAACTAACTTCTATTTTACTCTCTACTATATACTATATAATTATTCAAAATATATACTACTTTAGATTTTTTACTTAAATCTGGTAGATCAAAAAAATTTACTTCTAAAAAATGCTGTCACCTTAATCAATTTGTATCAAAAATAAATATGTAACATGCTTTAAACTTGTAAATATTATGAAAACCTATCATCCAAATCTTAATATTAATAGAAGAATAGTTTTAAATGAGCTTTATAATCTGAAATATCATAAGATAATTTTAAAATCTATACCTCTACTTACAGATATTTACAAATAACATTGAATAGAATTTGCTATGAAATATAGAATATAAATTAAAATAAAGTAATTTTTTCTGTTAAAACTACATTTCAGATATTTTAAAATACTCAAAAAGTATTTTATAAAATTAGTATATAACTTCCATACAAACTTATAATAAAACATTTATATAAAGTACACACATAAGATGCCTTTTCAATAAAAGGTCTAATTAGTTTTCTTCTTTTTATAGGTATAATAGATAATACTTTATACTATGAAAATTTAAATAAAATTTATTTGAAAAAGCAAATTTTATTATGAGAAGACATTGAATATTTTAACAAAATAACAATTCTAAATATTTTACCAAGAAAATCATAAAACTTCTTTCTGAGCTGCTAAATCAGCTATCAAATAATTCAAATCTCAATCTAATAGAAAATTTATGGTCAATTTTGAAAAAATATATGAAATAACAAGTTAATAAACTTATTATTTATAGATTAATCTATTCTATAAGAGAGATGAAAAATCAAATCAGATCAATCTAACTATAATTTTATAATAATATTAATTTTTAATTTAAAATATATATATTATACTATAAATAATAAAAGACTGATCCAAACTGATCCTTAGAAATGGTGTAATAATCATTTTGTATACAATTATTATTATACTTTTTATATATCATCAAATATGTATATATCAGATAATATTTAATTCTATATATACATTTTTAACAATTTTATTTGGTTATATAATTTTTATATTTATATTCATTTATAATAAAAACAATTTATTTTAATCTTTTATAAAATTAAAACTTTAATACTATATATGTTAAAAACTTGTCCTTGAATCAGTTTTATAAATCTATTTAGACTAAAAAGAAAATAATATTTTTAAACTAAACTAAATTAGTAGGACTGAATAATGCAAGATCAGTCTTATAATTGAATTATAGACCAGTCTGATTTTAAGAAAGATAAAAGATTGGTCTTTAAACTAGATTAGACTAGACGAATCTAATTCTACTTGTGATATAATATATCGATAATTATCAATATTATAATTTATCTTCTAAATTTTTATATATTTATAAATA